TTTTATCCTATCTTCCTAGGAGCTGCAAAAATAATCACTTCCTTATTTCACTTTTTTTTATTCTACTGTAATAGGATGTGCCTGAGTTTCCTTTTTATATAGCTTGTCAAGAATAACTACATGATATCTAGCCTCTATTATATTTACAACACACTATTTGCATTTCCAACATTAGACTTAATACTTGCTTGCATCATGGAAGACTGTGGCATGCCCATCCCAGGGTTCATATTGTGAGGCATAGAAGGACCACTTGGCCCCATTGTGGAGGATCCCATGGTGGAGGGCCCCATACTGCTTCCTACAGGGCTGAGGCCAGGCATAGGAACAGAATTATGTGACCCACTGGGAGCCCCCATCATTCCTGGGTGCATGGTGGGCCCTGAGGGACCAGGTGGCCGTGGCCCTATGGAGGGTGAGGTGCCAAGGCGTGACTGCATAGATGACAGCAATCCCTGCCACTCATTTAACTTATCTCCATGCTTCTTGAGGAGCTCTTCCTTTCGGGCTAGTTCGTTGCGCATTTCAATAATATCCTGAATGCAGAGCATCAAATTCACCTTTTAATTAGTAGGGTCAAGAAGAAGTGTAGAAAAAGCCTGAAAATTTAACCTCTAAGCCCTTTGTAATTTGCCCCCAAAATGACCAAAGTTCATGAAAAGTGCCATTTCACAATACCAGCATGAAAAACAATGAGTTTTATTTTTTTCACATAACAAAAGCAAGGAATAACACTAAAATGCTTTGCATCCCCTGCCTCTATATACTAATATGGATGACATACAAAATGACCTTACCTCCAACAGAATAAGCTCTGGCTTCTGTACTGACAACAAGTATCGCTTTTGCAAGAAAAAAGCCTCCATTTGTCTAGCCAAGTCTAGGAATCGCAGACCATTCACTTCTGCATTTGTTCGTAATTCTTCTTGATTTACAGCATTAAAGTTATCTTCTTTAGTGAGAGGAGCCATGCAGTTCTATAAGAAAAAAATTAACAAGATTATCTAAAATCAGACAGCAGCACTGCTCACTTACTAACTGCTCACTTGTAATCCATATAACTGTACTTTAGGAACACTACCAAATCATCTATTATTAACTTAGTACCGTATAGCTATTTCCTAGTAATTTGCCCTGCATGCAAGTTATACATCTGTCTAATTGTTCCATTTTTCTAACCTTGAAGTTATGCATGAATCTAAAAGAAAGATTTGTGAAACCCTTCAGAGTTGTTATGTACAGAGTAAAGCACAGACTATTACACTGGCCATTAAAGAGCTTCGGAATGTAGATTTGAACAAAATAGACTGAGAAGTTGTATAACCACATGTAGCAAGGAATAAATATCAAACAATAAAGACAAACAAACAAATAAAGCTTTAATATACCTAGAATTGGGAGCACCAATTTGAACAATAGCTTGGCAATTTCTGAAATAAATCACTACAAAACAAGAACAGTAGTTTTATATTTCAAAAATCTTTTAAAAAGACGGATAATTTTCTAGAACTTGCCACATTTCAAACTCCATTAAATTTGGTATTGATGGATTCCACATGAAATCTAGCGGGCACTTATAATCGCATTTGGTAGGCACTAAAGAACAAAAGCAACAATGCAAGATTTCATAGGTGGGAAGAACATGAATAATCACCTGGAAATGATGGGGTTAGATCGTGCAGTATTTATATATTTCTGCCATTGAGAGTGAATTGTGCCCCTTACGGGAGAGGGGCTACCAACACCCGCGCCCCCAACTGGGATGCAAAATCTCCTCCACATCTGACCAGCAAGACAGAGCCAAGACAGGTCAAGGTGGCATAAATCATGAGTGATGTCATGACCATGCTAAGGCAGACGTAGATATTTCTGGCCACACACTCATTCCTGAGACACTGTTCAAGTTATGCGCTCATTCATGACTTCTGCCGACTCTTTCTCTTGTATTTGATTAGTAGTTATCAACAGCATTCCAGTGATGCCAAATCTGATAAATTATGAGATGTGGATGGTCAAGAAAAATACAAAAAAAAACAAAGTGAGATTAAAACAGTGCGCAGAATGAAAAATCACATACGTCCTACATTACATCATAAAAAAATATCGGTTACACATAATTGATTGATTCTTTTTGCACGATATAGAGTATAGAATTGTGCTTCATTTCATACTTAATTTTAACCCACCAAATTTTTTTTTTTAATCGCTTTTTATTCTTCGTCTTCAGTGCATCCTAACTGCCACAGTTCTTTACTGAATGATCCCCCCAAATTACTTGTGATAGATCAATCCTAGCCTAAGGCTGTGCAAAAGCCTGATTTTTTATATTTATTTATTTTTATTATTTTTTTTTTGGGGGGGGGGGGGACTTCTTGACACAGAGTACTCCTTTTGGTTGTTGTGGACCAAACACCGAGGGCATCATGCCATGCCTATTCCCGTGCTACTGGCTCATCGGACGGAGGTTGTTTTCCTCCACTAGTAGCGGCTTCATTTATATGGTAAAGATTTTAGGCAATGGCACCTAAAGTGAAAGTAAACCTTCAAAATTTTAATATTTTCATAAATTTTAGAAAAATAAAAGCTTTTAGGTGCTATATGTCGCTCGCAAACTACCGATCGAGCCGGGTGCAAACAACAAGCCGGCGCATACGTAAACTTGACAAAATTTTTACCCGTCGCTGATGGGTTAAGCTTTAAAAAAAATTAAAGTTTTTGATTTAAGCCAAAATTCAAAAATAGGCCATTTACACATTTTCAGGGCTTCAAAGCTCTAGCGAAAGCAACAAACTGCATTTGAAACGCAAGAAAATTACAAGAATTAGGATGTACCGATGGTTATGTAAACAAACAACAGAGAGAGCACGTTTTATATTTTGGCAACTTGCCAAAGTTCGTTACCTCTGTTATTTTTCTCTGAATCTAATGATGTTATATATCAAAAAGAAAAAAAATTATAAGTGTACTTTGTGAAACGATGATTACCAAGTCAACAGGAATTTTCATTTTCAACAGGGATGTTTTTCTGTAAAGGTATGAATTTTTTTGTTTGTTTGTTGTTTATAAAAAGTAGATATCTTTATCCGAAAAGTTAAATAAATGCATTTTACCATAGAGACAACTAATCTAATCCGATCTGGTGTTATTTTTTTCTTCTTCTTCACTTCAGTTTTGAAGAATTAGAGAATTGTGGTTGGCAATATCAGTACAAAATCATCCTAGTTACAAAGTCCTACCATGAACACAACATTGTGGTTAAATTTTGAGAATTTTAAAAGCATATAAATTTCATACATGAGATTCCAGAATTACCGAAGTAGTTAAATTTTTCCCATGCTTCACATAAGTGGGGGGAGGGGGCAATGGTCACTGGGTGTTAATAATTTTTGAGGAGGATCATATGTATGTAAAGACATACACATAAAGTTTAAAAATTTAATCATCCTCATTTGGTAGGCTTATACTGATTTTTATATGTAAAGGAATAAAATATATTACTTATCCCTATCAAACTGCTTTCTTTGATAATTGTCTTTATTAACTGGTTGTGTGGTGGGATATTTGTATATTTATGGTACCTAAGACCTACAAGAACATCTAAACTTAATATATTGTATCAAAAATGCACAAAAGATGCGATAGCTTTTTCAAAACTCGACGAAAACTGCGCACACAAATGAGCTCTAAATTCCACATAGTTTTTATTTCAGAGCGGGTATTACTGTGTACTATCACCTTCAATAAGAAATAATCAGTATCTCACTTATATGTCCGAAATTCTAAAATCCAACTTTTAAGTACCCTTCATACTGAAATGCCCTTTACAGCGGTACTGACCAATTTCAATCAAATCAAAATTACCAATGCTGTGACGTAACGACTGTTGAGTGAAGTCTAACGGAAATATTTCAATCCTTACTTATACAGCTATTTTTAAACATTAGTGCTTTGTACTTCGTAAGCTACAACATATCACCAGAGAGTCTTGATGGAAGCATATTTCGTGTGAAAAAGGATACAAAACTTACATTTCTGTTACATATATTTTACAAAATATTTTGTCACAAATCACGGATATAATTTTTTTTTCTGATATTGCTATAAAAGTGTTCCTTGAACATTCATGAACTCATATCTATGTGCAATGTTATAATCAAATGCTGTATGCATGATTGCAAAAAGCAAAAGTCCATATGGGTGTACCTGGGCACTCATTAGCGATATACCTCTCCCGGTGATTAGCGGGTCTTGCCTCCATTGTCCGAGAACTAGCCATAGCTGGGCTTTAATGCTCATTTGGTAGTTTCCTCATCCATGTATCAATACTATATACTAGTGAAAATTTGACCTCCTTTCCATCTGGCACGGTCCCCTTAAAGTTCAAGGACCAATATATGATATGTATAAAACTCAGAACATACTGTCTAATAATACTTTCATTCTTACATTTGTAAAGTTTTTAGTTCCTAAAACTACATATATAGTATATTAGGTGGGGGCATACATAAAAGTAATTCAAACAAAAAACAAAACCTTTACAGTACCTGAAAGGCTTCTTCAAATTCATCAAGAAGGTTGCCAGGGGTTGGAGTTGCTGCCATTGTGCCGTCTCCAGAGACTGAGTGGCACCTGAAGATTCTTGCAACTTACTCCAGCGCTGAGCCTCCCACTGTTCTCTCTTCTGGGACTTTCTGTAAAGAAATCGATTGGAGAATTCCTACATGTGTACATGACTACATAGATCCCCCTAAAATTTCTCACCACTACCAGAGCTCGGTGATGATTGCTCATGGTAGACAGGTATAGGAAAATACTCACTCATAATTTGCTGTCTAATTCCAATAGATTACACATTAAAAATTATTTGGTCTTCATTTAATTTTTGTATCTGTAAAAAGATTCCTTAAAAATTATAAAGGTCACAGCAAAGACAAGGCTACCATCATTTTTTTTTCCCAATGTAGTGTACCTTTAGTACCTTCATAGTGGAGTTATTGTCAATCAGACTAATATAGTTCCACATCTTTCCTTTCATATGAGGCAGTAAGAATAGCAAGGTCCAATTGACCAAAAGGGGGGGTAGGGAGTTGCAGTTACCAGCATGTAGTGCCAGCCTTTATTTCTTAGTCTCATTTGGATTTCAGACACAGGTACAAATGTGAGAATGCTATAGCAATACTCCTTCACCATGACCATCTTGGGCCTCACCGCCCCCTGGCTGGCTGGGAACTGAATCTCTGTCACACACACATAGTCACACCCACGTATTCAGCCAATGAGTGCATCACATCAACTGAAGGATGCCTGGGAAGTCTCAGTCACACTGCATCATCCCCCAAAAAGATAAAACACAAATTAAGGAATTTTGCTATACATTCTTAACAACCCATAAAAAGCCTTTCATTTAGTTAAAATAAATAGATTAAAAAATTACTTTTTTTGTGTGTGTTTGAAGAAATATGGGACCTTCTTGAAATGGCAACACTTTTTTTTAGTATATCATTGCAAAATTTTAGTAACACTAGTAAAAGGCCCTAAATAGAGGTATTCTTCAAGACAAACCGGAACAAAATCTATGTAATCATCACAGAGATAAAATCTTCCAAACTTTCAAATTTGATTATCTCAAAACTAAGTTTTGGTCAATAAATCTTTGCTATTCTCTGTGCCTCATACTTTTTCTTTACTTTTATTTTTTTCTTCTTTTTTTAAGTATCTATTCAACTGTTTCACCAAACAATGAGAGAATTACAACTTTAGAGTCTTTTGAAAATTTTGCTATACACAACATGATAAATATTGGAAAGAATTCTGAGAGCAATATATTATATGGAATACCCATGATTAAAAGTAATCATAAAAGTAGCAAAGAACAAGCATTCTGGGCAGAAAGGGTCTTGGAGGTTCCAAATGCGGCCCACTTGTCCTGCTGGTCCTGGACAAGGTGCCTGGACGAACAAGACAAGCAGTTCCAAACGCAGCATACGCTAGCAGAAATAATGTTTATGTGTAATTTCCAAACCATGTTCATCGACGAGGGCCGATAGTGTTGTGCATCCAGTAACAATCTTTTCATCAAAACCCTCCCATATTTGGTATATCCCAATAAAAACGTTTTCGGAATATTAATTTCATTTCATTTGTTGGAGAACTGCAAAATTTCCATTCTGTATTCAATAAAAAGCATAAAAGTATACCAATCTAACCCTCAAGGAGTTGCAGCCTGTAAGAAACAATTTGAATTCTCGGCGCAACTCGGCCTAAGAAAAAAGGTTTTTAGGTACGTCTGGCTTTATTCCGCAATCATATTTCTGTAATATTATGAACTTATCAGACTTTCTTTATCAGAGCAGTCAAGCAAAGTATACTTGCCTACAGAGATCAATTGCGTTTCCTCCAGCCACCGGAACCACAAACACAGGCAAGAGAAGCGACACTGTTTTTGTTTACATCGAAGCCGACGCCACGAGCCTAAAACAAAATGAGATACGAGCTTAGTTTGTGACTGTTAATAAAGCTTTCATGCATACAAATAGACAGATGTTTCTTCTTTCTTCTTTTATAGGGTTTTAGACGTGTAGTCTATATTCCCTGGATCCTGACAGATGTTTACGTATGAATATCATGTGTGTGTGTGTGTGTGTGTGTTCTTACCTAGTTGTTTGGATACGGGAGAAGAGCTATGCTAAGGTGGTCCCGTCTGCTATATTTAAATTATCATATAACTTTTTAAATTGATGTACAGTTTTGGCACACACTACTTGATTGGGGAGACTGTTCCACGATTCAATAATTCTGTTTGGGAAACTATATTTTTTGACATCTTTATCACCTCTTTTTACTTTCAACTTTTTTGTTGTGTCTCTCGTTCTTCTTGTGTTCAAGATCAAAAGGTCATCCTTATCTATCTTCACTCTTCTGTAATGCAGTTGAAAAGCATAATCATGTCCCCCCTTTTCCTTCTTTCTTCCAAGGTTATAAGTCCTAATTTTTGTAGTCTGTCTTCAGAACTCAGATCTCTTAGGGTAGTGCCCATCTTATCGCCGCTCTTTGACTCTTTCCAGTTTGTCAATATCTTTTTTCATGTGGACTCCATACCACTGGCACCGTACTCAAGAGCTGGTCTTATGATTGCTTTAATAACTTTTACCATATCTTCGTCCACATACACGAATGCCCTCTCATGTTGGCAATCAGTCCTAACATTTTGTGGACCTTTTCATTTATATGGTCATTTGGATTTAGGTTTATATTTATGATTATCCCAGATCTTTTTCCCTGTCAGCTGTGTCTATATACTGCGTCCCCTAATTTGTATTGGAATAGTGGGTGATTTCTACTTTCTCCAAATCTGACTACGTGGCACTTATTGGTATTGAATTCCATTTTCCATGTACAACTCCACGTGAATAAGTTCTCGATGTCACTTTGGAGGCATTGGCATGAGACGTTGTCTGTTACCCTCTTTTGTATCTTTGCGTCATCTGCAAACATATTCAGATAACTACCTGGGCTTATGTTTGACTCTAAATCATTGACGAAAATAGTAAACATAATTGGCGCCAACACCGATCCTTGAGGCACTCCGCTGGTTACCGTCGCCATGTAGAATGCTTTCCTCTAATTACTGTGCTCATTTGTCTTTCATGAAGAAAGTCTTTCATCCATGCGAGTAGGTTACCTTTCACTCCACCTAGGTGCTCTAGTTTCCATAGTAGTCTTCTATGAGACACCTTATCAAAAGCCTTCTTAAAGTCTAAATACACACAATCCACCCAGCCGTCTCTTTCTTGTAATATTTCAGATACTCTATTATAAAAACAGAGGAGATTTGTTACACACGACCTTCCTTCTCTAAAACCAAATTGTTTATTTGATATCATTTCGTATTTTTCAAGCATTTCAACCCATTGTTTTCTAATTATTCTTTCTAGCAGTTTGCATACTACACTAGTTAATGAAACTGGTCTATAATTTAGTGGGTTTTGTTTGTCGCCGCTCTTATATAAGGGTGTAACATTTGCGAATTTCCAACTTTTTGGTAGTTTACCTTGTCTTAGTGAATTTTGAAATATTAACAATAAAGGAGTACACAGCTCTTCGACACATTCCCTAAGAACCCAGTTAGAAATTTCATCTGGTCCCTCTGCTTTGGTCTTGTCTAATCCTTTTAGCAGATCTTTTATTTCGTTCTTTTTGAGGGTGATATTTTCGATGTTCTTTACGTCTGTACGGGTATTTGCCATATCAAAGCATGGATCCTGAACAAACACTGACTGAAATTTCTCATTTAGGATTTCACACATTTCTTCCTCCTTAGAATATATAATGTTATTGTCTTTGATAGCGCTAATTTGATCCCTACTTTTAGTTTTACTATTTATGTAGTTAAAGAAGAGTTTTGGTTGACTTGCGCATTTGTTTATTATGTCCTTTTCAAAGTCTAATTTCGCCTCTCTCATGGTTTGGGTATACTCATTTCTTCCTACTTTATATCTTTCATATGCTGCCTGAGATCTATGCCTTCTGAATCTTTTCCAAAGGAGATGCTTTTTTCCCTCATTTTCTTGCATTTGTCGTTGAACCATTTTTGGCCATTTCTTGCTTCAATTTTGAATTTGGGTATGAATTTTTCCACTCCTTTTTATAGATCTCACAAAATTTTGCATACTGAACATCAAGGTTCTCATCATCCAGAAGTGTTTCCCAGTTTATGTTATCAAAGAAATCTTTAAGGCTTCTATAATCACCTTTTTGTAATTGTACTTTTCCTTTCTTTCTTTGCTTACGATGAGTTTTTCCTGTAGCAGACAGTATTTTAGTGTGTGTGTGTGTACATATACAAACATAAATACACACACACACAAATATATATATATATATTGTTACAAAAAGTGTACTATAATAATGTAAGTGTGTTTGTGTTCGTGGCGATGAAAAGCCCGCCAAAATATGTGTATGTTCGGGGCGCCGAAAAGCCCGCCAAAACCGCGCCGTTGCGTGATTGGCTGCCTGCGAGGCGGGACGAGAATCCGGCGTCGTGATTGGCTCCGAGAGGGGAGTGGCGGGCCGTTCGAAAGGAAACCTGGGAGAGCGAGGACGGTCCGTGACGGTCGCTGCGATCTCGATTGTGCTGCTCTCTCTAAGGAGGACACAGAGATGGAATAAGGTGATCAAGTTGTGCGCATGTGTGAGGTGAGCGCCTTTCCTTGGATATAAGTGACTAGTTCCTGTAAATAAACCGTGGATTGCTACCTGTTTGTCCTTCACCCGCCAACTTCATTCAGTGCCCTGAGTGCCAAACACTCGTCAAAGGCTGCTCACCGAACCCCGTGGGACAGGCAGTTGAAGAAGTGCAGCATCCTGCCATACAGGGTGGGTTGTGTGAGGCACTTACACGTGAATCTGTCCGTGTTTCGTAACAATATATATATATATATACATAAATAAATGTGTGTGTGTGTGTTTATGCCTGTTAATGCGAGAGACAGACAGACAGACAGAGAGAGAGAGAGAGAGAGAGAGAGAGAGAGAGAGAGAGAGAGAGAGAGAGAGAGAGAGAGAGAGAGAGAGCAATTTTGATTATATTGATATGATCATTATTTCCATTTATCATCATTATACCTAATTGGTTAAAGTAATAATGGTGATAAAGATTATGATACTAATCATGATGATGACAATTATAATGATATATAATAAGAATAAGAATAAGAACAAAAATGCTAATAATTACAATAACGATGATGGTGACTGTAATAGCATGATGAATAACGATAATAGTAATAATAATAATAAATGATAATCATCATCATCATCATCATCGTTGTTGTTATTATAATTATCAATATTATTAACATTATTATTACTATTCTTATTGTTATCATTATTATTTCTATTATTATCAAAATATATTATTATTTCTATTATGATCATTATTTTTATTATGATCACCATCATCATCATTATCATTACTATTGTCCCTACCAGTATCATTGTT